GTGTGAACATCTCCAGGAATGGCTGTTTGTGTGACAGTGTGTATGTGTGGTGGAAGTCAGGTAAGGAGGTCCCTGTGACTGTGCAAGTGTGAAATTTCTGTGTCTATTCCGCATTTCTGTTTCCCTTGTAGGTAATTGTGTGTAGAGGTCTGCGTGTGCATGAAATTGGAGACCGAATCTGACCTGTACCCGCAACTTTAAGACCCGACACGAGCTGCAGTTCTTCACTCTTAGTTTCAAATTCCTTTTTGGGTTTAATTTCATTCTGTTCTGCTGGTGACAGCTTATATACTGCTCTGCTGTTGCTCACACCTCGCACTTTTGAGCTTCAGCCTTTTATTTTAGACCAAATGTGAAGAAACCTGCTTTGCTGATAGATGCAGGATGTACTGTGAAGTTCCACTGCAGTTCTTTAAGTTCTTTAAGTTACTCAGGTTTTGGGAGAGATAACTTTACTTCGACTCAAGTTATAGGTTTATTAATGGGTTTAGGCCACTCTGCACTGTAAAAGATGGAAGAGAAATTTGAACCGATGTAAAATATTGCCTTTGTTCATTGAAATCAAAATGTTGCTTTGCATTGTTTCATTCAAAGTATTTGAATTGAATAAAACATTTACATTTCTTGTTAAGACAAAGTATTTTTTCAAGTTGTCAACTGACAAACCATTTTCTACAGTGTACTCACATACAAACATACTGAGCCAATATAGCCTGATTCTGATTTTTATTATATTCTGATATAAAAAATACTAGAGAACTGAGTTCCTTATGAGTTTCAGCGAGTGATGCAGTCTAGCCTGAGGTAGTTTAAGCACTCTGACTAGCTGTTAGCAAGACTAGCCTAGCCCACACACAGCAACATAACTAAAACACTTAGCTAGCTAAATAAATCATTCATTAACATCGGCACCATGGTGTAATTTCACTAATCTGAGACGTGTTTCATTTATTATGACTGTAATATATTAAGTATTTCTACTCAAGTGTATAACATTTAATGTGCTGCAAATTTACTCATGACCTAATGAAGGCTAGTTGAAATAACTAGTGACAGCTAACATTAGGCTAACATTAACTCACAAATATTCACTGGGGACTGTGCACGTGTCTCACTCACCACTGTGATAACAGTTTATAGAGCTTTTTGTGCAGATCTTTGATATCACAGTGGACATCAACATTCCAAAGGGGTCATTCCACTGACCCCAAACAAGCAACAACCAGCCTGACAAAGGCAAAAATCTTACATGACTTGTATAAATGCTTATGTTCCCATGTATGCTACTGTCAAGAGTTTGCCTTACAAGCTTTGCTAGCTAATTAGCTTACTGAGGCTAGGCTAGCCTAGTGGAGGGCAGGCGCATGGCTATCTAAAAAATAAGCTTAAGCCCTGAAGACCCCGTCAAAGTCCATACTTTGGTGACATCAACAATATGCAGATCTATAGTCTATAGGCCAAGAGACCTCCAGGGTACATGGCTTAAATTTGTGCATTTGGGACAGACTTGTGTGAGGTACAGGCTCTGCAAGCACCAGCCGCGGCGTATAAGCCGTACTTGTGTTTTAAATGAGCATAATACAGCTTATGTCTCAATTACCATTGAATTTTTGGCAATAGGCCTCTGCTGAGTCAGTAACGAGGCAATCTTCATCAAAGGTCACAATAAGGGCGCATAGAGGTCACTTGTGAGCATCCCTTTGAAAGGTAAAACAAGAAACAGGACACTCACGGTTCTCGCATGCATGTGCAGTTGTGGACTGCAGGGCCACAAATTCACCATTTGGGACAGGGCTTTGGTTGTTTCTTGCCTGACCTCTGGTGACCCCACGATTTTGTTTGTATGTTTCTATTTAAAGAGTTAAAAGGATGTAAAGCTCTAGGAACATAGGTACTCTCCCTTTGTAGAACACCTAGTTTGTTTTTACAATTCATTAGTCAGCTTGATGAGTAAGAGAGTTTTATTTCCGTGGTTGTTCAGAATTGGGTTTCAGTGTTAATGCTAGACTCTTTTTTTGCACAATGCTAGTGCCACTGTACTTTCAGAAGTGACTATATACAAAACTTAGTGGGTTGTAAAGTGCATATAACAATTACCTGCATATCAAGTAGACTACACCTCTGTATCCAGTTATTCTTCTGTGTTCGGGCTCAATTTGGTCTACAATAAAATGATAATCCTCAAAAGTTAAAGGTGTGAATAACAGTAAAGCAGTCCAGGTGTTGTTACCAACTGCACTGAATTAATTAATAATTAAATAAATAAAGACAGGTGGCAACTTAGTGTGGGTCACTAAAAGTTGCACACTGTGCTCACAGGAATACTTGAGTACTACACTCTTCAAAATTGAGTGGAAGAAAATGGTTCTTTGGAGTGGTACCATAGAAGAAAAGAACTTTGGGAGCCTTTTAATTGATGGTTCTTTAAGGAACCATTTTTGTAAACCTCAACATAATGAAAAGAGTCTACACCAATTAAAGGTTTCTTAGGACGAAGGATGCCATTAGTCGACAAGCCTAAAATAAAGGATGTGGCCCATCAAAATATCCACTATAAAACTGGTAGTTCCAGTCCAGAAATCTGATTGGCTGAGCCACACTATATTTTTGTAAGCCTGTCTAGCAGTAGCAATTGCCGATTTTGACGTCATGTATTCCATTAATGATTAATAAGTAATTATTAATGTCCCTACTTAGTACCACACCTCCAGGCCAGGAAGCATGTAAGCGATCTTTGTTTTGTAATGTAGGAGTAAAGTCTTATCATTTGAACATGTTCAGGAAATTACAAATAAATCCAAACTATAATTAGTTAGATTGATGTGATTGTATGTAAATAATAACCCCCCCGACTCTGCTAGTGAACAGTGCTGTCTGCGTGTGTACAATGTGAGGAGAAGCTGTAAAATGAGGATCCTCCCACGCGGCCGGTGCAGCAGGAGCGGAGTGAGCAGGTGGCCGCCCACATGCCCAGCACAAGGAACGCCGCACAGCAGGGTCCATCTGCATCAGTGTTATTAACACGCTGCCCCGACCCGTCTCAAACTAACTCACAGTTTACAGCCTCATAAGTCACTCAGTAAACTGGTAAAGTCGTGAGTCTGTCCTCAGCTGTGGAGGTGCAGGGTGGACACGTTCACAAAAGCTGAATGATACTCAAATCCATTTAGAACACATAAACCTCATAAACTCATAAACCCTAATTACGCTGTCACTGTGCCGCTTACATAAAACCTTTAGCACAAATTAAAACTTAAAAATAAGAAGCGAAGCACTGCTGGTGGTAAAAACAGCGTTATATAATAAACATTACTGAAAGCAGCCTTAATATGAGCTGTGATTCATGCTGGAAATGTTCAAGTGTTCTTAAAAAAAAAAAGAAAAAAAAAAACATTTTCCTTCAAACAAGTGCCTCCACTCGCTCTCTGTCTCTCTCCCTTACCTTTCCTTTGTCCCTTCCATCTTTCTTCATTTATCTCTCTCCTTCTTGTTTTCTTTGTTCATACACTTTCTCTCTGTTTCTGTATTCCCCATCTCTCCTTCATCTCCATCTCTCTCCTCCTCTCCTTCTTTCTCTTTCACTGTTCTGTTTCTTTCCCGCTTTTCTCTTCTCCCTTTTCTCTTTCTTCCTTCCAACATTCTCTTTTTTGTGTTCTTTCTCTCTTCCTCTTCTCTAGTTCTCCGTCTTTCTATCCTCACTCTTTGTTGTTCTTTCTTTAACTCCTCCACCATTCTCCCCCTCTCTCCTCTTCTTTTCTCTTTCTTTCCTCTACTTCCTCTCCCTTTTGTTCTTTCTTGCTTCCTCCTTTCTCTCTGTCCTTAATTCTCTGTCTTCCTGTCCCGTTTGTTCTTTCTCTCCTCCACCCTTCTTTCTCTTTTTCTCTACTCCACTCTTCTCTCTCTTTCTATCTCTCTCTCTCTCTTTTTGTCAGTCTGTTTCTGCTTCTTTCTTTTCTCTTTCTTCCTCCTTCCACCATTCTCTCTTTCTCTTTTTATTTATTCTCTCTCTTCTTCTCTACTTTTTTATTGCACTTTTTTCTTCCTATGCATTCTCTTTCTGTCTTTGTTCTTTCTTTCCTCCACCCTTTTCTCTCTTTCTTTTACTTCTCTCATTCTCTTTCTCCTTCTCTTTCTGTCCTTTCTTCCCTTCCACTCCTCACTTTCTCTCGCTCTCTCCTTTATTTCTCAGTCTTTCTTCTTCTGTCCTTCCCTTCCACCCTTCTGTCTCTCTCTCTCACTCTCTCCTTTACTTCTCAGTCCCTTTCTCTCTTTATCTTTCCTTCCTTTCCTCCCTTCTACCTATCTTTCTCTCTCTCTATCTCACTTTCTCTTTTACTTCTCTCAGTCTCTTTCTCCTTCTCTTTCTTTCCTTTATTCCCTTCAACCTATCTTTCTCTCTCTCTCACTTTCTCCTTTACTTCTCTCAGTTCTCAGTCTTTCTCCTTCTCTTTCTTCCCTTTTCTTTTTTCTCCATTTCTCTCTCTCTCTCTCTCTCTCTCTCTCTCTCTCTCTCTCTCTCTCTCTCTCTCCCACCAGGGGGAGCTGCTGTTGCTCTTCTCTCTGCTCTCTCTCTCTTCTTTTCAGTGACGAACATTCCCGCTTTTCAAACCTACAAACACCGACTCCGGTCTCTGTACTGCCTCACTCGCGCGCGCACACGTACAGACGGACAGACACACAGACAGAGGTGCAGGCGGACAGGTCCAGCAGTGTCCAGAGCCTCGCTCTCTCACGCGCCTCTGCACTAAAACAAAACAAAAGCAACCAGAGAGAGAGAGAGACAGAGAGACAGAGAGACACAGAGAGAGAGAGACAGAGAGCGTGAGAGTGAGAGAGAGAGAGAGAGAGAGAGAGAGAGAGAGAGAGAGAGAGAGACAGAGTCCCTCAATGCGCCTCCCTCTCTCTCTCTGCCTCCACACGGCTCGAGCGCAGCGCGTCTGTGTAAAAGACTGAAGTAATAAAAGCAGGAGAGCTTTCGCTGCTGCTCCCACGTGCGGATATATTCTTGTTTTTGTTGTTGTTTTTTCTGCTCTGAGAGACTGAAGCGACATTATAAGGACGTCATTTATTTTTCCCCACAGTGCCGGAGCGCGTGAAGTGTGTCGGAGTTTCCCTTCGCTCCGAGTTGGTGGAAGCCTGTGGCGTGTTCCCCTCAAATCCAGCGGGAGAAAACTAACACACACACAGTCACGCGCGCGCGCGGCTCACGGAGAGAATGAACGCGGGACTTAATTTTGGACAACTTGGCGGACAGCTGGAGGTTTTGGGGGACAGACTGTGAGCGGACGATGGAGAGAGACAACTTTTACGAGGTAAAATCTCTTCGTCTCTCCTTCCTGACCACTTCCTGACTTTTTGTACGAATTTTCCGTTCCACCTTAAATGAGGCGCCAGAATGTAATTGCTGCACCATTTAAGGTGGACCCGAAAATTCGATCAAGAAGCTGGAGAATTAGAAGCCAACTTCATCCTCGTTCTTTGCTAATCGTGTGTGTGTTATGAAGTGAGCTGCGCTGTGCGTTTGCAGTGATAACGCTTTGACTAAAACTGAGCTAAGTTTGATGAAGTGAGTTAAAGAGCTGCATCAGTGGTGAAGCACCACCGTGTCCGTTTACATGCATGGTAGGTGGGTTTGGTGGGCTTACCACCTCCGCTGAGGGGAGCCAGGGGGATTCGTCCTTGTGCTGGTTGTGCGCCTTATATTCGAAACGAAAGGACGCATTAAGCTCAACATGCAACAGATTAATTGAGGGTTGTTAGGTTGCATTTTTGCATTTTCTCCTTATGACGGTTTATGTTTTTCACTCTGATCTCCTTCACTGAGGGGTCTTAGTCCACTGCATCTGGACATTTCAATGTACATGGCAAAATCCGGCTCTATTTTACGCACGAATTGAGCGCTCCTCTGGATGGGCGTCAGTCCTCTCGGTGGTCTTTTTCCCCCGTGTCTTTGTGTCCCCTTGTCGTTTTCCCTCCGTGATTACGAGCCTTGAGCCTTTACTGTCTCTCCTGCACTCTCCTATAGCTCTCTAATGGCTTTTAAATGGACATATAAGCAACTTGCTGGACATGTGTGTTATCTGCTGAATCCTCTAACAGTCCTGTTGTTCAGATATGACTCTGAAGTGCGGACTTTTCTGTCCAGGCAGTAAAGCTGCTGCACTGGCAGTTATTGTGCGTGTTGATTGTGATTGTTGCGCATGGACAGGCGGTGGATATCCTCTGTTCTGGGCTTAGATGTGGGCGATTTGGTATTTAACCCAGTTTATTTCAGCACATATGTATTTGTTTCCTTGTAGTTTTAAAGCAAACAGGATGAAATGACAGTGAGAGGGACTCGAAAGCCAGTTGGTCAGTTTCTGTGTGGAAGCTGACCGTGTGTGTGGAGCGGGGCGGAGGAGTCCGAGCACTGAAGCATTCAGTTCGGACGCAACACCGAGCCACCGAGCCGGAGCTCCCAGCTTTTATTCCCTTAAGAATATCATTTTATTGGCTTTAGGCGTGTATGATGAATGTATATACTTAAAAAAAGAATGGTTCTTTGCATGGTGATGTGGTTTTTCAGACTGATTTAGAATCTGTTCTATATGGTTCTATACAGAACCTATATGACAATGGTTCTATGTAGCACCAAAAAAGGGTTCTACTATTGTTATCATGTCAGGCTTGTAAAGTTCTATATAGAACCATATTCCACATATTCTCCATCAGTCTGAAGAAGCATTTTACCATGAAAAGAACTATTTAAGTATGAAGTGGTTCTATATAGGACTCATGGTTCTAAATATAACCATTGCCTTTGCTAAAGAGCCTTTAAAGAACTATCTTTTAAGAGTGTAGAGTGCCAGACTGCTAGTTCCGGAGTTGGTCTATTATTAGGTTAAATGTCCCCACATAAAAGTTGTTAAGACACCTCAGAATAATGGAGCATATAATTAAAATTGCAGGTCTTGTGATTTGCACTCTTTTGAGTTGTGATTTCGATATGAAAACGATTATTTGCTCAGCCCTAATATATAGTATGTGTACATTGTTGGTGTGTGTGTGTGTATATAGATGTATATAAACTTATGTCAGGTTTCTGTTGTCAAAGTAAGAATTACGTTCAGCCATATTAATCCTTATTTTTAACAGTAAAATAAGTAATGTGCTCACTCCAGTCACTAAATATACGTGTGGCAATGCAAACTGGAGAAGTGCTATGACACTTTGACTGTGTACACAGGGTCTGTGTGTGTGTGTGTGTGTGTGTGTGTGTGTGTGTCCGGTAGGGGGAGCTATGTAGGCGCCCCTCCCTCCGCAGGAACACAGCAGCAAACTGAAGGATGTGAATCCTCAGAGCAGCACACACACATACAGGCAGATTTAGCCCTGAGCTCTACACACCGCGATGTTAGGATGACCAGTGCGGGAGGGATCACTGTTATTATTATAAAATATATAGCCAGCCATTTGCATTGCATTACACTTTATTTGCTGTCTGCAAACACATTTTTTAAAAGATCTGCAATGATAATAATAATAGTAATAATAATAATAATAATAATAATAATAATAATAATATTATTATTATTATTATTATTATTATTATTATTATAAAATAAAAAATAATAATCTGGTGGTGCTTGTAAACATGTATTGTCAGTGTAATTATCAGGGATGTGCTGATATGGGAATTGTGTGGTGAAGCTGCCAATGCCAGTACTTAAACATTTATAAAATGGATAAATTGAGACCAAATCCACCTGTACTTGCATTAAAATTTATGTGTGTGGTGTTATAAATGCAGTAAAATTAATAAAATGCAGATAATGTAAACTCTTCCAGACTATAGTATACTAACACTACTGCAGTACATATGTAATATAATATATAATATAAATATGTCAGCAAACATGTATTTGAAATATTGGCCAAATCTACATGTGCCTGACACTGTTATTTTTTTAAGCTGAGAAAGATATGACTCAGATACTTAATTTTTAGTATCAATCCATATTAACCGTTTATTTTTTATTAGTGGTAATAATTGTACTTTCTTACAGTACATTAATAATGATGTCAATGTGAAAATCGTTATTGTGTGTAGCTTCATTTCCTCCCGTAAAAAAGCTCACTTGTTGTGGGTCAGTGGGTTATTTTCAGCTGGAGAGGAGAACAGGACAAAGCACTTAGCCTGTGGTTACAGATATTTGGCAGGTGCTGTTTTCTTTTTTTAATCTAAAGCAAGAGGAAAGAGTGATACATTAGGAGTAAAAATAGCCCGTGCCGGAGCAGCCTGACAGCGCGGTTTTAATCACAGAAGGGGATGAGATGGGGCTCGCCGGCGTAGTCGCCTTTTGGAGGGCAGCCATGCGTACCTTTCGACCTAGATGTCCTGCTTTGTTTTTGTCCGAGCCGCCTCCTCAGACCCGCTGCCTCTCTTATCTTCCCCATTTCCATCGTATCCAGTCTCCAGTGTTCAGGGAGAATCCAGTCTCCTCTGCCTCCGCAGCCGGACCGTATGAAGAGAAAAGGGCTTCTGCCTCTCTTATTTATATTCCAATAAAACTCAGCCACCCACACACACATATTCTTCATTCTTCAAGTTGCTCATCAATCTGTTTGCTGCAGGCTCCTGACACTTCGCTGCAAAGGTGTTTTCGGTGTTTCCCTTCTTCACCAGTCTCTGAAAATAACATCAGCTCCATTCACACCAGCAGGGCTTGAAGAAGGAACAGCACTGCAGCTCCTGAGCAGACGTCTCCGGCAGGGCCTGAGTGATATGGGAATTTTGTCACTTAAACCAATTTTAAAGTGTCAAAAATAATTGTACATGGTCAAACTTACAGTTTTCAGTGGTTTTAGCTAAAGGGCCGTATCATATAAAATGGAATTTTCCCTGTCTTTTTTAAAATTAAGTGTTGTATGTAAACATTGTTCAATTTTCCAAATGTAATATTCACTTCCCAGTCCCTACGATCCATATATGAAAACTAAGCTGCGAAACAGCTTATTTGGAATTCGCAGTTTTTGTGATGTCACAAAAAACAAGATATCTACATATATCCACCTATTCACCTGTTTAGCTCCACCCATTCACTCTGATGTTATGAAACAGTATGAGGCACGCAGTCAAAACTGAAGTCTTTTACATATTTCAGTAGCAGTAACACTATTAGGCATGTTTAAAACAAATGTAGTGATGGCTAAATTTTTCATTTTGGTCAGAGTGCCCCTTTAATACTAGCCGAATTAATTGGTCAACTGATATATTGGTCGGACCTTGTTTTAAGGAGGACTAATACAGCCACACTTAACTGCATCAAAGCCTGTTTCAGAAAATACTTGCCTTGTACAATCAGAGTGCAAGGAGAATTTGTTCTCATTATACCAGTTCAGCCTGGACTCTGTAGTGTCCCACAGATGTACTCTGATGACTTTGACCTCTCATTGAGGTGTCAAAGGTGGGAATAAGGAGAGGAGGGGAGTTTTAGAGAGATAAGCAGGCTCTGTGTTTTCATGGAGTGGTAATGGCTCTACTATGGAACCATGCAGAGAGAGCTTCATAGCCTCTGGCTGTCCTGTGCGAGCGCAGTGATCAGGGCTTGACCGCTCTCTCCTCTAATTAGAGTCTAAATCAGGGTCTGTGTTTCTGTTTAATGAAGCTTAGGTAGTGCGCTGAGGGAAGATAGAAAGCATTAGCTGTCCTACGTTCCTCTCCAACCTCATGTCTCGTCAAAAAGAGGATGTTGACTTTATGCAGTGGTGGGCAATATGGCAGAAATATTTCATCACAAGACATTTTCAGGATACATGGTATCATGATAGGTTTCTCTGAAGTTTATATATATATATATATGTTTTGTTTCTACAGCAGTTAAAAAGCTGTATTTGGACAAGAGGGCTACAATCGCGAATTTAATCATCGCAACATACAGCGGACAAGCAGCAGCCACCTCCTTGTTTCTATGCTCATTGTCCATTTTATCAGCTCCAGTTACTATATAGGTGCACTTTGTAGTTCTACAATTACAGACTGTAGTTCATCTGTTTCTCTGCATACTTTGTTAGCCCCCTTTTACCCTGTTCTTCAGTGGTCAGGACCCCCATGGACCCTCACAGAGCAGGTACTATTTGGGTGGTGGATCATTATCAGCACTGCAGTAACACTGATGTGGTGGTGGTGTGTTAGTGTGTGTTGTGCTGGTATGAGTGAATCAGACACAGCAGTGCTGCTGGAGTTTTTAAACACTGTGTCCACTCACTGTCCACTCTATTAGACACTCCTACCTTGTCAGTCCACCTTGTAGATGTAAAGTCAGAGATGACA